CAAATTTCAAAAAAAAATATGCGAAATTAAAATTAAATCAATAAATAACCATGTAAAAATATCAAAAAAAAATATTTAAAAGGTAAAGGAGAAATATTGATTGCTATTCATAAAAATGCTTTAGCAGTTTTATAATTACATTTCAAAAATATTTTTTTATCTGTGGTTCAAATTCCAAAACGGTGAAATCAAATAGATTCCGCCGTGACGTCGCTGGTTAAGTAAAGTAGCTAACGTGCTGCGTTATTTCGAAATTTTTCAAGTTATCATTACGATTGTTGAGTTTTATTCCGAATTTTATTGGAAAGGCATCATGGAAGACGGATTCGTAAAAGCAGTAAGTACTAATCTACCGAGGATAAAATACATTGATAGTAGCAAATTTTTTGCATGAAATCCATATTTTTGTTCTGCCGAGTTGAGGAATGTTAAAACATCAATGTAAGTACTTATTACAACAATAACACAATACCAAGTCAGAATGTATCCTATACCTTTAAACGAGCAATTCTTGTATATATATAATCGGAATCTCGGAAACGGCTCCAACGATTTTCATAAAATTTAGTGTCCGGGGAGTTTCGGGGGCAATAAATCGATCTAGCTAGAATTTATTTTCAGAAAATGTCTTTTTGTCCGTGTTTTCAGGCAATGAAAAACTGCTACAATATAAGAAGGTAAATTTTGACATTGTGTTAATGATCGTAATAGCTCAAGTGGATATCGAGTGGTCGCGAAATCGTAATGCTTTGGTTCGCGTCCTGTCTTCGGTCCGATTTTTTTTCAAGTTCCCTTCTTTTGTGAGAAAATCTATAATTTCGAGCTCTTTTTTTTAGTATTTTTTAAAAATACGAAAATTTTAATTAAACTAATTGCACTCATGATTTTTTATTCAAATAACCAGTTCAGTTTTTTTCTATTATGTCAATAAGATCAAAAACTATCATTCATTCATATGTAATTTGTACCTAAATGTAATTCCCAAAAAAAAAAAAAAAACTGAGCAAAGCTCGGTCATCCGGGTACTTTTGATAATACATAGTTATGGTTATCTATGAACACAATCATAGCAATAATTAGTTATAATATCTAAGATAACTTAATCTATCACAAAATTTGACTTGCAATACCTATCACCTCATGATGTTTTGTTTTGTGTAAACGACAGTTAAATATAAGTCACACTTACATCAAAATGATGTTCACAGAAGTAGCTATAGTCTAGTTTTTGTAAACAATGTATTCGGGACCCCAGGACGTGCTTTCAATCTTCGTGCCGGTTTTAACCAAGTATTTTATCATATTTCAGTTTCCATCATATTTAAATCAGTTGGCACTTGAATCCATAACTCGGCGTTCTTATGCTCGTATTTTCGCATTCAGGCACAACACACCAATGATAAAGATCATAACTCATTATTAAACATCCAAAAATATCTTATCCCTTAATTCGGTAAGATCCTAGGTCAGTGACGTCACGAGTTTTCGCACGAAAATGCAAAACGATAAATTAAAAGTAATTTTTATGGCAGTATTCGGTTTTAAAATATGTACATAAAAATTATAGTGGTTTATTACCACTATGATTCATTTAAAACACTATTTAAAAAAGCGTGTAATACCCTATATGCGTTGAGGAGCTTCAGGAGCTTGGGACGGAAGTCGTCGTTGCTAAAATCCACGAGTTGGGTCTAGAAATAGCGCCTCATAAGACCGAGGCCTTATGGTTTCACAAATTACACTCGTGCGTCCGCGTGGGTGGGTTTGAAATCAGAGTGGGCCGGTACATGAAGTACCTTGGGCTCCATCTGGACAGTCGCTGGGACTTCGAAGAGCACTTTGAGCGCCTAGTGCCCCGGATTGAGAGGGTGGCGGCTGCTATGCACAGACTGCTGCCCAATCTAGGGGGACCGAGGGAGGAAGTCCGCCGCCTCTGTGCTGGGGTAGTGCGGTCCGTAGCCTTATATGGGGCGCCTGTATGGGCGAAAAGGCTAGCCATCCGACGCTGTAGAACTAAAATCTACAGTGTCCAGCGGAGGATGGCTATACGGATCGTGCGAATATACCGCACGATATCCTTTGAGGCGGCAACAGTCCTGGCTCGCTTTCCACCCCTAGATATACTGGCGGATATGGATACGAGGGTGTACAACCGAATCCGCATCCTCCGTCAGGGAGGTGACAGTCAGCCAGATGCGGCGCTCGAGTCTCTAAAACAGCAGGAGCAACAGAAAGCTTTGGCGACATGGTGCACTCGACTTAACGAGGAGCGCTATGCACGGAAACGCGTCATTGTCGCAATCCTGCCGGTATTCGAAGTCTGGATGCAGCGACGAGTGGGAAGACTCACGTACAGACTTACACAGATAATTACCAGGCATGGGTACTTCGGTGATTATCTGTGTAAGAACGGTTTGCCCAACATGGGAACGGGAGCAGATAAACCTGGCAAGCCGGATCGATCAGAACCTTTCCCTGCCAGCAGTCATGTCGGCTATGCTGTGCGAGGATTCGGCGTGGAGGGCCGTAGCCAACTTCTGTGAGTCCGTAATGGTCCGGAAGGAAGCTGCTGAGCGGGATCGGAGGCGGACAGATCCCACTCGGAGACGACGCCGTCAAGGCGCTCGTCACACCCCTCCCCAGGAAGATCTGTGATCTCCTACCAGAAAACCCTACCGGAAACGGGGCCTCTGGGGTTGAAGCATTAGTGGCGGGGGCCCGAATGCCTAGTAATGTTACACCTGAGGAGGACTATGGCTTGGAAGTGGTCCTGAAATATCGCGATAGCACTGCGAGGGTGCTAGGGGTAGTAAGTACTGCCCCCAAGACGTGCTTTCAATAAAGCAAAGCGAGAGAGGGGCTCCGGTTGCGTTCCGAACGGAGATCCCGGGACCCCCCTTACACGCTGATGGAGACCACTGTGGGGTTTTAACCGGTAGGAGTCCGGCATAACCTTTCGGGTGCCTCCGCAGCCAAATATGTCCATGAGGATTACCCCACGAAAAAAAGTGTCTATGGGCCACTGCATTCACTTGTCATCAGGTGTTTGTTTGCAGCCCTTATATGAAAAAACAATTTGTAAACTTTTATAGGCTGATAAAGAAGGACATAGAATGTAGTATAAGGTAATTTGGTAGAAGCATTACGTTTGCCTTTACCTTATTAGATGTATTAGGATTTGAAATGAGATTTAAATGTCGTGCGTGTAACAAGTAACAATACGTAGAGATACATTTCATTAATAAGCGTCGTCTTAGGCGCCCGCTAGACGTGCACGATCAGCACCGTGTCCACGAATACATTAGCCTAACATTAATGGCTCGCTGAGCACTCTTGCGGTAAGACCCATGAAATACGTGCCCGCCATTGGAACCCGACACGAGAGACGGATTGGCACGCACTCTGCTGTCATTGATTTTACTATTGCTTGATGTGAAGACGTAGGTCGAAAGGATAGATTTACGTCGCAATTGTGTTTGCTCGTGGTGACGTCTGACAAATATATAGATAGAAAGAAGTGATGGTGATGTTTTGAATATAATATAATTAATTGTAGACTAAATGATGAATACTTTTAAGATGAGAACATTCATATTTAGATTAGTTACCGAGATAAATGGCCAAATCAAAAATTCTCCAATATCCGGGAGACGTTGACTTTTATTCCATACAAATGCATTCCTCTGTTTTCTTTCTAGAAAATGATACTAGAGCACATATTTTTTTACTGTATGTATCCACACTTGCCATATACCTGTTTTATTTTTATTCCATAAATTAATTAGTTTAAAACCTCGGAACTCTAAAATTAATAAAGTTGACTAGTTCAACCTTTGATATATGAAAAGAATAACACATAGATATACTACGAGTATTTTCAGTTCCATACACATTTACACGGGCTCAATTTCAGAGGAGGAAACGGGGTAATACGAGAAGCTGATTAAACGAGGTCCATATTACCGTAGTAAAATTTACTATGATATTACGATGACACTAATGTCACGTGTTTTTAACTACCTAATTTTATGAAGCAGATGTATTATGTCTACAGCTCGACCGGGGTAGGACCACATTTTAAAAAAAAAATTATTACGACCTATTAAAGCACACTGCTGAAGTAAAACCTCTTCATAGATTCCCCAATAAGGAGGTTGGTAATTCACACGTCACGGTTGGCTCGTTATATGAAAGACGCCGCTGCCCATCTCCTGGTTTTATTATTACCTCTGTTGCCTCTAACGGCACCCTACGGGGATGATACGGGGTAGTGGCTAATATTAATCATTCATCAGTATTGTTATTACACGATACGACGTCGGCAATATGGCCTTGTGTGCTTAATATATGTATGTGAAAGAAACCGGAGAGGTATGTCCGATTCGTGCCAATTTGGAAGGTCGTAGTCTCTGTCTACCTCCCTGCGCGACGGGCGTGATAGTTTATGTATGTACTTACTACATACATAAACTATCTTACTATTTAAAAATAAATTAATTTCTAATACTTTTTCTAAAATACCTATTTTTGCTAGAAATTAATTATATTGTCTTATAATTTAATTTAAATTACCTGGAACTGGTTCGGAATCGGTTGTAAAATTATTTTGCTGCTCAAGAAAAGCAGTTGTCAAGGTAGCCAAACGTGTATATGCTATCAGTCTTAAACTGTACTTTGATAGGTAATACCTATCTGTTGTAAAAAATTCTTCTCTTAGTTAAATTATTAATAGCAATCAAATTAAATTTATCATTATAATTCTTACAATAAAAAAATAAAAAAACACCTTGCACCATTCTCTCCGACTCAAGTTTCATTTTAATGTGCTAAAATCTCATAGTAATTTTCCAATATATTGACAAATGAAATTGTCTTGTGTTTTATCATGACTGAAAAAACGAAACGAGATAATGTGACAAAAAACACGAGGTTTTTTCCGCCGAGGAAAACCCAATCAGCTAATTGTTTTCGTAATAAGGATATCGTGTTCTTTGTTACAGAGCTCTTTGCGCGCTTCGGAAGCTGACAACCGCCGGATGATGGATCGCATCGTCAAACTGGAGGAGAACATGCGCGCTCTTAGGGTCGCCAATGAGTAAGTAGGATAAATCAAATGTGTCACCGACTTTATGGATTATGATTTTAGGCTGGGTTATGTAGTTTTCACAATCTCTATATATAAAAACCAATTGCAGTCCGTTAGTAGTAAAACGGCTCGAACGATTTTGATGGTATTTTTCGTGTTGGATTCTGGATTTTTTCTGGATTGGCGCTGTTGTCGAGATCCAGAAATCACCCGTGCGAAGCCGGGGTAGATGACTAGTTTAAAATATTAAATACTCAATATATAACATATAACATACTTTGGTATATTTTGTTTGAAACGTGAGCGTTTGCTGGTTTTATTTAAACAAATTTATTTGGATGGGGATATCATCTATCCATTCATTCATTACAGGCTATAAAAGTTCACTTGTGAACATAGGCCTCCCTCATAGATTGTCTCACGGGGAGATTTTGCCATAGTTGCCACGCGTGGCAAGCGGGTTTCTTTTAATTTTCAGTTACTATCAGGAAGACGCTGCTGTCAATCTCGTTTCATTTTCCCTCTGGCACCTCTTACGACACTCGGGACGATATGGGTAAATGGATATTCTCACACCGTCACTACACGGTTGAATGGGGACTTGATAAAAACGAAATGCTTATATATTATAACTTATAACTCTATTGTGCTCGTAAAGCCACGTTACCAATGATCGAGTAAACGTCAAAGAGTGCTAGGTATAATTAGGATACTTTTGGAACGACACTACGAGTATTTTATTTTTAACAAACAGAATTCAGTACGTACTGAGTATATATTGTGACGTACTGAATTCTGTTATTATATTCGTAGTACTTGATAGTGAAATATAATCACAGCGTGCGTATGGGTAGTTAGAAGTTAATAACTCTACATCCATTTTCGAGTTCAATAAGATTTTGAGTTAAAGTTACAGCCTATACGTCCCTCTGCTGGGTACAGGTATTCTCTTATTTCTGAAAGGGTTTTTAGGACAACGAAACATCCGCCGCGCTGCCCTATAGCGTGTTGGCGGACTTCAGATGTCTTCAAAATATTTTTTCTTGGACAATTAGTCAATTGTCGCCGTTCGGCTTAGTGTCGAACTGTCCCCGGATATGCTTTTGCTGTTTTGACGAACGTAACCCATTTGTACAGGACGGGATTATAGTGTCCGAATGTGGTGCGCAAGCACAGGTTCACTTACTCTCACAGTCGGACGGGACAGCGAGCGATAGAGAGATCATGCGCATAACCATCGTGATATGGAGTGTAGAAGTAAGGAGTGCAGACTGTGTATTAAAAAGTGTCCATAGAAAACCGTTAAATAAAGGTGGCGCCACTATAACTACGGGCTAAATTTTAAAGAACGCACCGAAAAATATTAGTGGGATAGACGACTTTTTCGAGGTTATATTTATTAAATAAAATAATTTTAGATTTTAGAGCTACTGAGCAGTTTAGCAGCACACTTAAACCGTCGATAACTGCTAAGTTCATTTCATCCCAGTAGCTACTCCGGCGCTGTTGTGGAGAGTTTTTGAACTTTTATTTTCTGCTTATCCTCCTGAGTCCTGAACGTGGTGATAGGCAAATTTAAAAAAAATTGTTTTAAATGCGTCTAGGGGGGTTTTTTAGTACGAGAAAAATAGAAAAAAAAATACATCGTTTTTCCACAAGGTTTTTCCTTATGTTCTCGTACGAGTAAAAGCGGACTGTGTCATCACATGAGTACACTTTAAAATAAAACTACAATTAAATGAAAATCAACTTTATTTTCCTTATTTTTTTAGTATTTAGTTTTGGCATCACAAATATTCTAAATAAACACAGAAAAACTTATTTTCAAACGAAAAACAAAACAAAAATCTCAGAAACTCTCTGATTAACAGGAAAGAACTAATGAAAATCAACATTTAAACAAAAATCTCAAAACGAATTAAGTCTGCAACAAATACTAAGTTTTCAAAATATCAAAATAATCTTAACAGCTATTAGGAACATTGGTTTTTGGTTCTTCATACTTGAAATTTTAAGTTAAATTGTAAGTAACAGTTTCTTTGGACAGTACGTAAATAAATATTACATTTAGAGCATTTAGTTCTACTTTTTTTATCACAGTCCTTTTGTCGACATCTGCTTTGCTTATCTGTCATTATCGGTAGATGTTCAGTCTTTTGTGTACGACGAATTATAGATAGCACAAGTTGAATCAGAATACGACGTTTTTTATGTTCAGCCTCGAAATCAGACTCATTCTCCTCAGACTCATTCTCCTCAGAATCCGAGCTTACAGTGTTGTGTTCTATGATTTGCTCCCCTAGCATCAGCTTAAAACTTCTCATCTGTAATATATTTTTACTAGGCGTGCCTTTTTTGTGTGCTTCTTGGCGATAAACAAGCCAAGCATTGGTAACAGCTATATCAAAACAATGAAATCTGTCCTGATCCTGAGCGTCCATTTTTTGGTTCTTGCTCTGGAAGGGCAAACAGCGAGCATACGATCTACGAGATCAACGCCCCCACTATTAGTATTGTAATGTTTTACTACTTCTGGCCTACTAACCGATTCGTAAGCCTTCTTTGTCTTTGACCATCTTGAGCAAAAATCTGTATTATCAGCCGCATAGCACGTCGACAACATATGCACTGGTTTATTGTCAAACCATTTTGTTATTGCTAACTTCCCGTCCGTAGAGTATGTTATAAAACAGCATCCACGTCCTTTTTCTTTCATATCAAGATCTTTCATGACCAGCACATTTTGAGGGATACGGTTTTTCATTATGGTTCCAGCACACAGGAAACCACGATCAAAAAGTGTTTCTGCCAATTTAAGGGAGGTGAAATATCTATCGAAGTATAAGACGTGTCCAGGAACTAAAGACTCAGTTAGTTGAAGAACAGAACACTCATTGACCGAATAAATGCTTTTCATAGTATCGGTAAAAGTCGAACCTTTGTTCACAAACATGTCGCATATTATTCCGTTTGGATTAGCTAAAACCAGTACCTTTAAACCTAATGGGTGCGGTTTATTTGGCACATATTGCCGTATTGGACAGCTCCCTGAAAATGGTATTATCATTTTGTCAATACATATATGTTGTGCTCTTTCTTGTTTTAAGCACCCTATTAATATTCTATCAAAAAGAGGCCTCACTTTCCATAATTTATCTGAGCTTCTTTCTGAAGAGGATATTTCATCATCAAATACAATTTTTAAAGATGTTCGTATCTTGAAAAATCTATCTTTAGTCATATTTTCAGCAACAATAGGAATTTTCCATTTTTTTAGACCAGAACGTACGTAGTTGAGGATAATTAAAGCAAGACATAACAAAAGTAATACCAAAAAATACTTTCAGTTCCTTAACAGTGAGACCCAGTGACCTCCCGTAATTTTTAATGTAAGTCCTGTTTGTTTGTACTGTGATATTTTGCAATAACTGGTCATCGATATAGTCGGTAAGAAAGTCTTCAGGACGCCAGTCATGTAGTTCCCGTGGTTTATAAGATGGCTGGTTAAGTTCAGGTATTATATGAGAAAAATTTGTGCCATTCCAGTCTTCTGGTGAGTAATAGTGAAGAAAAGAAATACCTCGAGCACGTACCCTTGATCCACGGTAACGAGTTGGCGGTCTGCCTCGCGGCCTTTGGCTTACTGATATCACACGTCTTGATGGACCTCTCGAACGTCCCCTAGATATACCCCTTCTTAGAGAATGCCCTTTTGATCTCACACTCGGAGGTCCTCTTATAAGTGTAGGAGTACATATTTCACGTGGAGGCATAGCTGGACTAGAAACCGCTGGCTCGTTTTCAAACTCTTGTTGGAAATGCCTTAAATCGTGGCTGCTTCTATTGTCACTTTCTGACTCGGACGACAATGGGCGGTGTTCTTGAATGAATACATCTTCCTCTTCATCATCAGAAAGGCCATCTGAGTCATTGAAATTCAATTGCTGTTCAATTTCAAAAAAACAAAAATAAATATTGCAATAATTCACATAACCTCAAAATTAAAATTAAAAAATTACTAAAGTTAAGACCGAGTGTACTTATACGAGTACTTAAGAAAAAAACCAAGATTTATCCATACTTTTTTTTGTTAAATCAAAAAAAAACTCCATTCTTTCAAATGCATCTAGAACTGTATAAAAAAAGTGAAATAAAAATATATAATTATGATATAATATTGATTAAAGAGGATTAACTTACCACGTGCCATTGTTGTTACCGGCAAGACGAAGTTTTTGAGACACAGCAATTGATAATGGCCGCCTAACAGTTGTTTGTCACTTTAATCATAATGACAGAGTCATAATTGAGACAAAGAAACGCGCCAAATTTTGAAAATGCTAACTCGTTTCGTTCAACGAATTTTTATTTTCTATGTACTCATGTGAGGCCGCGGGCTCCTAAGAGGTTATAGGTGGCCACTTTTTCAACTATTCTACTATGGGAGTTGGTACTCCTTACTTCTACACTCCATACATCGTGATTTCCAATGCTCCATGGTGAAACATCGCCAAAATGATGTTGCCATGAAAGGATGTTTGAATCCATGCCATAAAAAGGAGAACATACTAGTAACACTGCATGTAGCTTTTATCCATTTTTAACTAAGAAGAAAACTATTTTAATTTTGTACCTTTTTTCTGTAGATCAGACTCAACTGAAAACAGAATTACGAATGGTAATGTTGAAGACGCAGAGGCTGAACGTTTACGCTTACGTAAAGAAGTAGACAATATGCGCAAAGCTAAGCAGTGCTCCGAGGAACATGCTCTCAAGTGAGACAAACATATTTAGCTTTGCATAGTAAAAAGTTACAATACGTGATTATTACGAAGAAGCTTATCCCGTTACGTTTCAATTCATTTTATATTGGTAGTATTATAATAGTTAGCTTCACATATTCCTTATATATTTCTTTACATTTTTGTAGTCATTTGAAGTATTGTTACAAATAGAATTGGTTATGTAATTTATCAAACAATTTTGACTAATTTTTTTCGTGTTTCTTTTGTTTCCTAAAGGAATTTCATAAATGGTGTGAAATAAACATTTGTTGTGGCTTGGCCAGTCTCCACATGCATGCTCATCATTTTTGTTCTATGCCTTTTGTGTTACGGATAATGCTTGTTTGTAAAAATTGTATTATTTGTCTTTTTCTTAATACATTTTAAATAAATTTTGCTTCAGTAGCGTTTTAGTAGGCAAATATTATGTAGAAGAGTGCTTATGTTAAATTACTACTAAATACATATTTAGCATTATCGAAACATATCTATCCAAGTTTATTAAACTAAATATTACTTTGTAGTTTTTGAGGACTTAATGACATGCTAAGTAGTATTTCAATTCCAGACTGGAACGTCTAGTTACGCAGCTACGTTCCAAATTCAGCGGTCTTCAGCTATCGACGAACGGACCGGATTCGCTTCCGAGCGAATCCGACCACGAAACGAACGCACGCATTCGTAGAACCAGTGGCAACTCGAGCAACAATTCCACTGTTGTCTTTGGACCCGTAACTGATTTGTAGCGAACGGAGCTGGGACAGATTGTATACGCTCTTGCCGCGGACATGGTGTTATCCATTTATTCCATGTTCAGTACTTAAATATAATTACGTATAATAATGGAGGACCTAAGACGTTACCTTGTGGAATTATCTGATATTGAAAAATCGAAGTGAAAATTTACCACAATTGTTACTTTCATATAAAATAGAATAAAAACATAATACTAAATAAATGCTAAACATTAATATTTGTAACTTCGATTGAATCTCATATTTACTATGTGTACGCAGCAAATATAATGTAGTAGTGTATTAAAACAGGTAGTTTTTCAAATAAAACTGAGTTTGAATTCTATAATAATATTATTATATAAAACCTTATAGATACAGGTATAAATTAGGCCTAAGGTGAAATACTTAATATGTAATTGCTCACATATGCAACATTTGTGATTTTGTTGTCTCAAATTTGTTTTGTTTTGTTAAAGGTGCTACTATGTCGTATTTACGCGTATATGTTTTTAATTTTTAATGATGTCTTTAACATATCTTTAATGGCTGTTATGCAAAAAAAAAGATACATTATTCACGTGGTTTGGTTAATTTATTCGTCTACAATGTTATTTGCTAACACATTTATACTCGCAGTGATACGTCATGCTCTCGCTTATATTTTGTTGGTTTTTGCAATTCGCATTCATTCGCTTTTGACACTTATCTTGATATTTGTCGTACTCCATTAAGATTTCCACTGTCAATGTTTTCTTTAAGGTCGGGTTTGTAGCTTATTTTATTTTGCCATTGTCATTTACCAAATGTTTCACCGGCTGTATTAACATAGAATACTAATAGAATGTCTTATTACACACTAGGAGTAAATCGTAAATGAGATGATTACCATATTTAGACATGGCAGTGAATATAATGTTGTCTTTTCATTATCTTAAAGTATCGTGCTATGTGTATATGTTAGAAAACAAAAGTTTAATTACATATATGTAAAAATTTATTTCTATAACATAGACATATAAGACATATGTCTTGTGTGATTTCCATGGAAGCATCAAGTTTTTTGTATGACATGACTCGTTTGTTGAGTTTTATTCGCACGGGTCATTTGTCTTTTTTTGTGATAATAGATTGATTGCTTGTGCGGTGTATCCGAGCTGTGCATAAGCTGGACGTGAGATGTTCTTATGTGTTCTTTACAAGAAATATAATTCTATACCCATTTTATATATTTGCTGTTTATTAGATTTATATATAACAAGTAACAACATATTTAAAATTATGATTGAAGAATAAATGAATATTGCGATATTATTTAATTTTAAACTCATCCCTTTATTTTTGCTTAGATGTAAAAATTAATAATCAGAATTTATTAAATTGGCGTATGATTTACATAAGATACCAATATGCTATTAATTAGGTACATTTAGAAATATATTGACTTTGTATTAACAGACACATAATCTATCAGTAAGTATAATGGTAAAGCCGTGGTGGCTCTCGCCGTAAATTTCACAGTACGCGAGCAAACCGGGTTCGATCCCCGCCGGTACTAACGAAATTGTTAACTGCAGTTTTAAGTTCCCACGTGCTCGGCGGTGAAGGAAAACATCGTGAGGAAACCTGCATGTCTGAAAAAAATATTTCGAAGACATGTGAAGTTCGCCTACACGCATTGGGACAGCGCGACGGACACTTCCTTGCCCTAAAACACCATCTCAGAAATGAGATAGGGATGTGCCCAGCAGTGGGACGTATATAGGCTGTAACTTTGAACTATCAGTAATTTTCGAGTGCCTATGATTGGTAACCTTGGGCATTATATCAGCGGTTAAACATTTTTAAATACAACTTCTAAAGTCCAGCTGACATTTACGTTTCTGCATGTTCGTGTGATTATTAAGTTAATGTAACGAATTTTTGAATTAGTGTTAGGACTCGAACGCTCTCCATCGTTCCGCCTTACCCTTGATCATTTTACGAACAAAGTGTGAATTGTACGTCGCAATCGTATGATGTCATCAGACGGATGGTCTCTCGAAATATTCATTGGCATTATGTAACCTGTGCATATTATGTACTTAGAGATGTTCGACGCTTTAAATTTGATGATTTTTTAAATTATATTTTGCTTTTCTATCAAAAATTAGGATAAAAAATAATTCATATATACTCAAGATAATCTGGACTCGTGGTAGATTTCGGTTAGTCCATTTTTGCTCCCAAGAAACTTCCTCTTCTTCAGGTGTGATTAGAAACTTATCAAACAAAACTATGTTGGCATTCATACTGTTTATTGTATTAAATAATTAGATTTTTGAATGCATTAAATAGATTGACATATTCGAATGATATCCATTTTGGTAGATACTAAAAGTGGTATTAAATTTGCAAACAAATTGCTGAAAACAATATACAACTATAAAACTAATTAACTAGCAGACCTGAAAACAAAAAACTTTTTTAGGTTTCTACTAAAGGCTGGTTGTGAAATTTAAACTCAGTGTAATGACCATGCAATTCTGGCTAATAGGCGACTTCATATTTGTGATATTTAAAACGCAAAAATATGATAAAAATGCCTTAATAATATTCTTAAACGATAATGTATTAGACTTTATGTTTATGTTTCCATATAATATTTTAGTTAAAAAAAATTGAATACTTTAAGTTTTCTTTTGTTTCAAATAAAATAATTTAATCGCTTCAAATAAATCCAAGTTTTTCTCAGCAATACTACACTTTCAGCTTTTTAATTTCTTATTTGTATTATCGAATCGCATGAAGATAGAATAAAAGCTTGGCAAATTAGTTTGCAGTATATATAATGTGTTTAAACGTTCCTAATTAAAGGTGTTCTAACTTTTACCAATTTTTATATTTCCGACCCATTTAGAAGCGGTTACATTCAACCCAGCTCCAATAGCTTCATTTTATTTTCTTAAAAAATTCATGTCACTGGTCCCTTGGCCTGAACTTTTACTAACCACCGACGACACACTTAGAATAGACTGACTTAACTAATTTATTGACTATTACTTAAGTAACATACCAAATTGTAATTTTAGAACTTAATATAATTTAGGGATTAGGAAACATATTGTAATTTATTTAAAAATCGTTAATGTAAAATTAGCCAGAATTTAAATGCAAAACGCTTTTTAACATTCGACAAAAATCATTGAATTTATCACTATTATTTTTTGTAGTTTTTAAACGAATAGTATTGTTTTTTTTTCTTTCCTTTTTACTCTGTAATTATGTTGCCAGTTAGAACTTGGTTTCGTATTTTTTCTATATCTTAAAACATTATCTATTAAAGTTCACCAAGTTCCTTTAGCAAATTTCTGGTGCGGCCGCTTTTGGGTCTTGATTAAAATTTTGTGGTGCTATATACATACGTTTTGCATTTATATTGGGTATCTTATTTTAGGATATATTAAGTATAAGATATATTGCGACAATGCGTGCGAAAAAAGCACGTCATAACCTTAGGAGACCAAAGTTAAATTGACATCGCTGTGCAAATACAGTATACATATTGTGCGGTGTAGGTGACTGGCCGCCTTTGTCCGTTACATATTAGAATAGTTTCACATTCTTGTATTCGATAAACTAATCCGATCTATCCTAATGAAAAGAAGTTGATCACATAAAGTCGTATAGTTTCGAAGTCAATTGATGTACAAGTTACTCTTTCTTAACCTAAGACATTTGCCAGTCTTTTTTCTACCAAAAACTTTCTACAATAACAAATACAGGATATAGAAAGGACATTGATTTGTTAAAAGGCTATACACCTATTGTAATTTTTTTAATCTCACCAATAGATTTACTGAAAAGGACCGAAGAAACGTTTCGTTTTCATTACGATCAATTTGTAAAAAGAAATATATATTTTATTACAAACTATTAATTTGGCTACTTACAACTTCATTAATTGAAATGACTTAAGTCTTTTGTCTTTTAAAACTCAACATGTTGTTTTATAAATGGAGTTTTAGAGCATTTTTTGCATTGTTAGAAAAGTCGAAAGAACTGCGAAACGTTTTTTTTTTAATATTGGAAGCACACATAATATGTATAAAATATAGGAAATATACATAAGTTAATGTATATTCGTAAATTCCTTGTTAATTTGTTTTCTCTATAGAGTTTGGTCCTTGTATAGGGTAAAATATTGGTGCCTTACATGCGTAACGTGTCCGCCCGTTTAGCGAAAGAGAAATGTGGAAATTATTCGATGTCTTGTGCCATTCGTAATTTTCGAGTGTGTGTGCTAACTTTAGTGCATTAATGACGAAGTCTCTAGATTGTGTCGAGGATTTTAGATTTCAATGATTACCACATATGCTCCACATACCTACTTAATGTTTTCGTGTTATGTGTGGCAATTTGTTGTTTTCTGCATTCGCTTTCAAATTTTAGGGATGGAACGACTGCTCTTACAATTTGTTTTTTAAATGTTATACTGAATGATTTTTTCCATCTGTAAAAAAAGGGTGTAACAGATCAACGGAATAAAAGTCTATGGCACTGACAAATTACAATTTTTTTACATTAACATATTATGAAATTGATCTATCAAAATACTACAAAATAATTGGGTGCGTATTATTTTAATTTTGGTAGTTTTTTATTGATTCATTTAAGTGCAAAATTTATGTTTTTATTATTTTATTACTGAAAGTTTATTTACAATTAGCAGTATTTATTGATAGATTAATTTCATAATATGTTAATGTAAATGCAAAAAATTGTAAAATATCAGTGCCATAGGCTTCTATTGAATTCACCTATTGCACCTTATTTTTCCAGACAGTAAAAAAATCAATCATAAAGCGATTTGAGCCACATAATTTTCATTCAGTCTTAAAGTCTACTATTTAACGTAGTGATTAGAATGAGTCCGAGTTCTTGATGATGCGTGTTACATTGTGTAACGGTGCTAAAACATCTTATACCGAATTAAATATAAATTATAAGATATTTTATGGTAAAGCAAACAT